ACCTCTCTTATCTTGTACCCCCCAATACCCAGTTCTGTTTCGCCAGCCGTAATAATCCTTCCTTTTTTATTCTATTCTATTTTCTTTCCCTCCTTTACCTCGTCGGAATTCAAACTGCGACAAGAATTACCAAAAAAGGTTCCTGCGCCATATTGACCGATCTACAGCACAAGTCCTTTCCGAACTCTTAACGTCCTCTCCCCCCGACCGCTGGGATTCCCTCTCCTGCCGTCGATCAGCGGTCGCATATTCCGACGACGGCATCCTTATCGACTTCCGACCAATTTCACCCTTCGTTCTTCCCATCTTGAGATGATGGCGGCAGCGCTTGATCAACCCCTTTTCGACCCGATCGCCGGCGCTCCGGCGACCGATGCAGCCTCAATCACTCCTCCCCAGAGCGTGAACGGCAAGAAAGAGGTTCCCGATGGAGTTCCGTCAGAGCTCTCCGATCTCGAGCTCGATCCCAATGTCAACGGCGCCCAGGAGATACCATCGGTAGAGGCGGACGATGAGGAGATTGAGCCGGACCATTACTATGGCGGCGGCAAGATCCCGGTGTTCAAGCCGGTGAGTCCTCCACCATATTACCCATCCTGGCCAAGGTTTGGGCTAATGGGCATCTCAATAGACTATGGATCAGTTCCGTGACTTCCAATCGTTCATCAACAAGGTCGAGGAGTATGGCATGCGCTCCGGAATCATCAAAGTTATTCCTCCTAAAGAATGGTATGGCTCGGCGCTTATGCGGACAAACACTCATGGCAGGACGCTAACCGATGTGACCAACTTTAGGACTGATTCCCTACCGCCCCTTGATGAAGCCGTTAAGAAGATCCGTGTGAAGAACCCGATCATGCAGGAATTCCATGGCTCGCACGGAACATACACACAAGCGAACATCGAGAGACAAAGATCATACAATCTACCCCAGTGGAAAGCATTGTGTGAGGAAAGCAGTCACCAGCCACCTGCGCGGAGAGGTGAACGGCGCCGGAATCAGGACCGAGTGACCCGGGCTCCTTCTGCTCCCAAAACCCAGAACGCTCGATCGGACTCTCAGAAACGTCGTGCAGGTCCTGGTCGCCCGCCGAAACGGGCTAACCAGGTGAAGGTCAAGGAAGAACCGCCAGCCGATGAGGGCCTGGATAAGATCAAGCCGGAAGGCCCGCCAACACCCGTGTCTCCCGAATCGAACCCCGTCGAGGCGAAAAACGAGGAACTGAGCGACGGCGAATCCTTGCCCGGCCCGAAGCCCAAAGGACGACAACCCAAGTCTGTCACATCTCGCAGAAAGCACAACAAGGGCGATGCGATCGATTACGTGGACGAAGAAGCCTTCCAAGACTTTGATTACCGCATCGATGATAGCCAGGATTACACCTATGAAAGATGTGAGGAGCTGGAGACCAACTACTGGAAATCCTTGATGTTCAACAATCCCATGTACGGTGCCGATATGCCGGGTTCTCTTTTCGATGATAACATTACGACTTCATGGAATGTCGCCCGATTACCCAATCTGCTGGATGTCTTGGGACAGAAGGTGCCTGGTGTCAACACGGCGTACCTTTATCTGGGAATGTGGAAAGCCACGTTCGCATGGCACCTGGAGGATGTGGATCTCTACAGTATCAACTATATCCACTTCGGTGCTCCCAAGCAGTGGTACAGCATCTCTCAAGAAGATGCTCCTCGCTTTGAACAAGCCATGAAGAGTAAGGCTCAATCCCGAAGTCAGATGTTGGGTAGGCCGTGACGCTAATGTTGATTTGATAGGTATCTGGCAAAGTGACGCCAAGAATTGCGACCAATTCCTCCGCCACAAGACTTACCTTGTTTCGCCGAATCTGCTCAAGTCCCAGTACGGCATCACAGTGAACAAGTTAGTGCACTACGAGGGCGAGTTCGTCATCACCTACCCTTACGGGTATCATTCCGGTTACAATTTGGGGTACAACTGCGCCGAGTCGGTCAACTTCGCAACGGAGAAGTGGCTCGATTACGGCCGGGTGGCCAAGAAGTGCAACTGTGAGGCCGATAGTGTCTGGATCGATGTTGACGAGATCGAACGGAAGCTTCGGGGCGAAGCTACTCCGGAGTATTTCGGCGAATACGAAAGTGATCTCGACGATATTGAAGGTGCGTCGGATCTCTTGACGCCTCCCCGCAGTGTTCCAGAAAAGACATCTACGCGTGGGCGGAAGCGCAAGAATGATGGTGAAACCACCAAGGCGAAACGCATGCGGGTTGCCATGGATGTTCCCAGAAAGATACCATGTGTCTTGTGTCCCAACAATCTGGATTATGAGGACCTGTTGCCGACCGAAGATGGCAAGTCCCATGCCCACCGTCGCTGTGCCTTGTACACGGAAGAGACCTCCATCCTCCGCGATGAGTCTGGCAAGGAGGTGGTGTGTGACGTGGATAAGATCCCCAAGGCCCGCATGGGTCTCAAGTGTCTCTTCTGTCGTGAAGTGCGCGGGGCATGCTTCCAGTGCAACTTTGGCAAGTGTACACGGTCATACCACGCCACCTGTGCACTTTTGGCGGGTGTGCAGGTGGAGCAGGGTCAGATCGCCGTGATTGCGGACGATGGGAACCAGTACTCGATCCCCAGCGTGGACCTCAAGTGCAAGTACCATCGCCAGAAGAAGCCGTCCTGGATGGCTAGCGGCGAATCCCCCGACTATGACCGCAAGCTCATCCAGACGGCACGGGGCTTGGTGGCTGGGGATCTGGTGCAGTTCCAGGCGGACAAGGAAATTAACGGTGCGATTGTGCTTCAGAACCGACCGGAGGAACGCACGTTACTGGTCAAGGTGCTGCCACGAGGGTAAGTTTTCTTTGGTGCCCCACGAAGAGGCTGCATGAAGAGCCCCGCGGGCCTCCATCATTTGTTTGGAGATTACCCGATCGGGCAAGGATGATATCGCAGGGGCTAACCGTTCGATGTGTAGGGACGTAATTGAGTTACCGTACCGGTGGATGCTGGTTGTTCGCAGGAGCAACTTCTCACCGCTGGCTCCAGGTACCAGGCCATTACCAGCCCACTTGGCCCGCAAACCCGAGGCGCGGAAGGAGTTGGAATCGGCAGTGCCGGTGGCAGGGAATCCATTTGGCGATGGGCGATCTCCGTATCAGTGGGCCGAGTTCGAGACGGTGGACAGCACTAATCACCCTAACCACCAGTCCGCCCCACCATCCACGCAGGTCGACCTCAGCAAGAGCGAACAGATCTGGTATTACCTGGGCGAATCCTCCACCGAGTGTAGGGCACAGTATACGCACAGCCCTAGCGTGCCTATCCACAACCCGCGCGCGAATTTCCTGGACAGCGTCAAGTCGCTCGGCGCCGTGATGGCCCGACTCCCCTCCTCCTACCCCCACCATCTCGCTCCGCCTCATCATTATGCTGGTGCTGGTGTTGGTGCCCCTCACCCTCATCTCCTGTCTCCCTTGACCGCCTCTGCTGCTGCTGCCGCCGTTTCTGCTGCTGCCGCCACTACTGCTGCTGCCACGACCACCACGACCACCACCTCCGCCGCCGCCGCTGCTGCTGCTGCCGCATCCCGCCGCCCTTCCCTGTTGCAGCACGCTCCTCTTGCCCCTCCTCGTCCTGCGCCTCCCACTGCCTCCTCCCCTGCTGCGATGCCGTCTGCTTACCGATCCTTGCCAACTCAATCAGCCCGCCATGCTCCGTATCCCCAGGTCACCAAATCTCACCATCATCAATCCCTTTCCCGTCCGCAGCAACTTCATAATCACCTTCACCATCAACAGCAGCAGCAGCAGCAGACCCCCAATAACCTCCCCGCCAATAATTTCGCCAATGTCAGAGAGCTCATTGCCCGTCGTCGCTTGGCGCAGATCACCGACCATGCCAATGTCTTCGCCGGGTATACCATTGTCAGCCCGGAGTTGGTCGTAGAGACCCTCCTGGGCCCAATGGGCTCGGTACCACCGCCGACCGGGTTGGAGAAATTGGAATTGGCCATGGCTCAGCAGCGAGTGCAGCCTCGGGCACCGGATGGAACACTGTTGCCGCTGCAACCCCTCAACATGCGGTCCGAGGAGGTGACACGGTTGTTACAAATGCTCCGCTTCTCGCTGGTGAGTCATCGGGATCGGCTGGACGTGCTGCAGAAAAAGGAGTCGGAAAACATCAAGCAAGAGGCCGCCAATGGAGGTAGCCTGGCCGCCACTAAGTTGCCTCGCAAGTATGCCTACCTTGAGCAGCAACGGGAGCAGGTTCCGACCGTCTACCAGTCCCCATACGACATGCCCTCCGGGTTTACGGAGTATGCTCAGAAGACCTTTGGCCTAACTCCCTGTCAACCCGAACTGCCCAAGCCCTCTTTGGCAAACGACTACTTTGCCAGCCTCTCCCCAGAGGATCAGGAAAAGATTCTGAAGACGTGTGGCAGTTTCGTTCAGCGAGCCATCGAACGGTCGGCTAGTCACAGCCGCCAAAGCTCCGCCTCCAACCTCCGGCTAGCGTCAGCGCTGGCACAGCAGACCGAGAATCCGACCATCGACATCACCACCGTCGAGGACATGCCATTCCCCAACCTCGATTTCCCGCTGCATGCCGATTCTCCCTGCTCGAGTTTCAGTCGGTCGCATCTGCGGTTCCAGTCACCCAATGACTTTACCAACCACGGGACCGAGACCCACCACGACCACCATGACCTCTTCGGGGACCAACAAGCCAACACAAGGTTCTGGCAGCATGGGCCTTGGGCAGCGGGTGATGGTAACACCCCTAACGAAGAGACCCGGCCGTTCTTTGGACCCCATGAACGGCTGAAGCATGACTATGCTTCCTCAGATATCTCTCTGGGCCGTGGTGGCCCGGGTTCTCTGCACTCCGTCGACATGGCTGGCTTTGGCCTGGATGGAACGGACGACATCTGCAACGTTCTGAGCCCATGATGCTGGGGGCCGTGCGTGCGTGACCTCATTGTATTTGGCGTGCTATTATCACTGCATCAACATGTAACGACTTATCTGGATTGACGACTGCATGACTGGGCGTTTGCGAATTGTTTTGCTTGTTTTCTTTTTCCCATTTCTGTGCTTTTGAATGGTTCCTTTCGTGATCACTTGGGCGATGATCATTGACGACGGAGTTGAAGCTAGCTGGCTGGTTGCGACTCAACTTGAGGCCTTGTCTACTGGAGGCCATGCATGATCTTGTTTTCATTGTCTGTGAGGGAGTTGATTGAAGTGGTGAAGGCGAAGGAGTCCAGTATACAGAATCAAGGAGAGCGACCGGCTGGCCCCCCTCAAAAAGTGGCGGTGGGCAAGTCGGCCAGGTGGCCATCCGCCATACCCAACCCAACGCCAGGCGTTCTTGATGCCCGGGCTGGCCCACCCACCGCCGTTCCCGCGATCATTTGTTTCCCCCGTCGATATCCATCCCTCTTCCCTGCTTTCGTTGCCCCTATCTTCCCTCCCATCTACCTTGCCCCCCTTGTCACCTTTCCTCCTATGCCTGCCTGGACCCTCTCCCTACCTTACATCTGTCTGTTGGAGAGATATTGGGGCCTACTTTCGCCCCTCTACTTCTGGTCCGCACGTACACTAGACATGTCACACACAAAAAAAAAGAAAATCACAAAAGACAAACACAAAAACCTCCATTCCGATATCAATGGATTTTTCTCCTGCGAAGATGATGGACTTGTCTCTGTTATAGTGAACCACTTTCCCCCTGCTTGATACCCCCCACCTACATGCCCTTCCCCTGTGTTTTCCTATTCGTTCGGATCTTACCCTCTCGGTCGAGCTGATGTGTTTGTTATCCTTCTCCCCCTCTTGCCCGCTTTCTCCCCCGCATTTTCTCTATCTTTATTCCGTGGCGCTCATCCTTGCCTGATGCCCTGTTTGAGCACTGGAGTCCGACATGAGGCTCGAGTGATGCTGGTGAGGGGTGGCAATGGATGTGGCAGCCGTCACTTACTTAGTAGTAGTGAGTGACAAGACACCAGCCGTGATGTACGTTGGAAATGGATAGTTGTGAAACTCCGAAATAGTTAGAAATCATACTATTATTTGACCCGAGGAAGAGTGCCATGCTATATTGTAGTTCTATGAAAATAAATATATCCTACCATCACACCAGATATACTCCTAGAGTGTCATACTACTACCAGTACTACCAGTACTATTTAAATCAGATGTAGTCAATTTAGGCAGTAATAGTAATCCCTCGTAGACAGACCCAGATCCGGCACCCACCTTGTTACCCCACGAACCAGGCATTTCAGCACCATGGTTCGCAAAAGTGAGGAGCGAGCGGATGTGATGGAGACTTCTTTTCCCCCTCCCCCACCACACACACAGAGAGGAGAACCGCGCGAGGAGGCCATGACCCAGTCAGTCCAACTTATCCGGCGGGATTTCCCTTTCCGAGGCATCAATGCTACAAAATAAGTAATAAGTAAGCTTTGTTTCGCCCTCGTGTTTGTAAGTGTCACGAGCCCTAGCTTATGATGTACACGACACTGCAGAAAGGATGTAGTGGTTCCGAACGTGCAGATGCGGGGAGAATATGCATGGATGCATTTAAAGAACCCAGTCAGGGGGGATTGGCTGCATTTGGCAGTACATTGTTGGTGATGATGTAGTTATATGGGTGGTAAGTAGTCAAATAGGTAAGTGGGACTGATGATATCTTCTTCATTGATGAAGATTTCCCACTCAAAGGTATATACAAATCTGATAAGAAGTATAAAAGATAGGATCAAGTCATCGCCTTGTTAACTATCTAACAGGGAGAAAAGGGTTGTTAATCATGCTTATCAGCGCGGTCTCGGACCGCCGACCACTAGCCCGACACCGGAGGAGTTTTAGTCGGGGAGCTTATCGCGGGGAGGAGGATTCTCATTGGCAAGTTGGCAATTTGATGGAGACAGTCTTTCACATGTTGTCGTTATCGTTGTCTCTTGTGGTGTGGATATTCCTGGTGGACTGTTATGGAATTGACCGAGTTAAAACGGTGTAAGTAAGTGCGGGGGGATGATGTAGCAGCAGCAGCAGCAGCAGCAGCAGCAGCAGCAGTTGAGTTCAGGAACTGGAAGCTAAACTAAAGTTGCCCTTTGCTGTTCTTCCTCTTCTTCTCTCTTGTTCCTTCTTATTCCCCTTCATTTATTCTGCTCGTGTTTCCCTCCTCTTCCCTCTCCTTTTCCCTGTTTTATTTTCTTCACTCTACTCCCATCCCTTACTTTTGGGATCTGGATTTAACTTTTAATGACGATATGTCTATCCTAAATTAAGAGACTTGAATTCCGGAGAGATAATTCTAGTGGAATACACACCTACTTCTTTTTTTCAGTTCATAAGGAAAAGACACACGACTTCTTGATCAATTACCTGAATTGACTGCCCATCATGCGACAACCTTCCATGGATGCCAACGCCGATGAGGCGTTGGCTAGAATGGGCTACAAGAGTGAATTGCCTCGCAATCTGAGTATGATGAGTATTCTCGGCCTGTATGTTTTCCATTCCAGCATCTATATATTCCTTAGTAGAGGGAGGGGACGTTACTCACATAATTCATGTATCAACAGCTCCTTCGCCATCATGGCCGCCCCTTTTGGCCTCAGCACCACCCTCTACATCACCCTCACCGACGGCCAATCCGTCAGCGTCATCTGGGGATGGGTCGTCGTCACCCTCATCTCCATCGCCATTGCCGCCTCGCTGGCCGAGATCTGCGCCGTCTACCCCACCGCCGGCGGAGTCTACTACTGGAGTGCCATGCTCTCCACGCGCAAATGGGCCCCCGCCATGTCCTTCATCGATGGCTGGCTCACCCTCGTGGGCAATTGGACCGTCACACTCAGTATCACCTTCTCGGGAGGGCAGTTGATTCTCAGTGCCATCTCACTCTGGAATGAGGACTTTGTTGCCAATACCTGGCAGACCATTCTCATGTTTTGGGCGGTGATTGGGTGCTGTGCGTTGGTGAATATCTTCTTTTCCAAGTGGTTGGATTTGATCAATAAGGTGTGCATTTATTGGACGGCGGGGAGTGTCGTGATTATTCTCATTACGCTTTTGACCATGGCGGATGAGAGACGCGATGCGGAGTTTGTTTTTGCGCATTATGATGCTTCGCAGAGTGGATGGTATGTTTGCCCCTTTCTAAATCTCCAGGGTTGGTTTATGGACCCGTGCTGATGATGTTTAGGCCTGCTGGTTGGGCGTTCTTTGTTGGTCTGCTGCAGGCAGCATACACACTCACTGGATACGGAATGGTGGCTGCCATGTGTGAGGAGGTGCAGAATCCGCATCGGGAGGTCCCCAAGGCCATTGTGCTATCAGTGGTGGCGGCCGGTATCACCGGTCTGGTCTATCTGATCCCTATCATGTTTGTTCTGCCCCCGGTGCAGACCCTTTTGGCTGTGGCCAGCGGCCAGCCTATCGGACTTATCTTCAAGACAGCCACCGGCTCCGCTGGCGGAGGCTTCGGGCTGCTGTTCCTGGTGCTGGGCATCCTGGTGTTTGCGGGAATTGGCGCATTGACGGCTGCCAGTCGATGCACGTATGCCTTTGCTCGTGACGGAGCCATCCCCGGCTTCCGACTTTGGAGGAAAGTGAACAAGAAGTTAGATGTGCCAGTGTGGGCCATCATCCTCTCCACCATTGTCGATTGCCTGTTAGGGCTGATCTACTTCGGGTCCTCGGCGGCCTTCAACTCGTTTACGGGTGTGGCCACCATTTGCTTGTCAATTTCGTATGGCCTTCCCATTTTCATTTGCGTGCTTCGGGGACGCGAAGCCGTCAAGGAATCCAGCTTCTCGCTGGGACGATTCGGATACGCGATCAACATCGTATCTATCTGCTGGATTTGCCTGGCTGTGGTGCTCTTCTGCATGCCCACCTCGTTGCCGGTGGATGCGAGTAGCATGAACTACGCGAGTGTGGTGTTTGCCGGTTTTGCGGCGATCAGTATCCTATGGTATGTGGTGTACGCGCGCAAACATTTCACAGGGCCACCAATCGCGGACGAGGATATGCCCGGTGTGATGACGGGGAAACCCATCGATACGGAGAATACTTATGCGGCGCATGAGAAGGAGGGGAAGGAATGAAAGCCTATTAGCGATTTGTTTGTATATAATTAGGTTCGAAGCCATAATGAATTGACTTATACATTAACATCTAAAAAAAAAAAAAGGGAAGCTATTCTTTAATGATAGTTTTAACCACAAAGAAGTCACTTTAAAATAAGTTAAAAGCATGAATGCAATGGCGCGGAGTAGGGTGCATCTAATAGATCGATAGATAGCCGATCAATCACAAGTCGGGCTGGCTGAGCAGCCAGAGGGACTAAACTCCGACAACCGCGGTTCAATCGCTCCCCATCATCCATCAAGCAATCAACCACAACCACCACACCACCGATCTCTCAGCTCGCAGCCTCACACACTCCCTTCCTCCCTCCCCAAACAATTTCCACGCGACCAACCAGCTCTACACGCGTGCTGAAACCTACCACATCCAATTCCAATCGATTTCCACCCAGAACCAATTATCACCAGTCCTGCGCGCGCACTCTGTCTCTCTCCCTTGGCCGAAATCCGGGGAAGCTCCGACTCCAACACACTCAACACACACACACTCTCTCTTGGTCGCACCAATAAACAATACGCCACAACGCAACTACTCTTCAATACAGAGACACGACACAGCAAGACACTGATGCGGACCCATCATCGCGCGCACTCACGTCCCCGTCTGCTCTCATGTTGCTGAAGCCGTCCGACGTCTTGTTCCTCGCACCATGTCGGATTCAGTGGGTGCGTTGATCCCCCCCCGACCTTTACCTACTTTACATGCTATACTGGACAACATTAAATGGAGGGATGGATATAATCTGGGGGGAGATAATGTGCTGATCGATATGATATTCAGATCGTGTCTTCGTTCATGCCCTTAACACGGTGAAACGCATTCCCCGCACGGGGACCGCTAGACCGCCGGCGTCGGAGAGATTGAAGCTTTATGGCTTGTATAAGCAGAGCATGGGTATTTGTCCCTTCCTTTTCATTTATGTTTATTGGGGATTGATGATACTGTAATGGGATATACTAACGAGGATTTAATTGTGAAATGTAGAAGGCGATGTCGAAGGCGTCATGGATCGACCGGTCGGGAATACCGCGGATGTGTTTATGGAGTGTGAGAAATGGTATATTTCCCCATTCTTCTCTTCTGTATGCTATCAGTATCAGTATGCTAATAATGCAGGGACGCATGGCACGCCCAACGAGGCCTCTCCCGAACAGAAGCCAAACGACGCTACATCTCCACCCTCATCGAAACCATGCATAACTACGCTTCCCAAACAGCTGAGGCAAGGGAACTCGTCGCAGAATTGGAATTCGTCTGGGATCAGATCAAATCCAACCCGTCTTCGTCGTCTATGTCATCATCTCAGGGCCTCGGTAGTCCGGTGGCTTCGGCGGCAGCGGTGTCCATACGAGATCATGCACGGATTCAGCAGCAGCAGTTCCAACAGTCTAATAATAGATTGACTCGTCCGGAGTATGAGCAGTTACTTGCTACCACCGCTAGAGGGAGAGGGAGTGAGAGATTACGGGTGTTGAGTCCGGTTAGTCAGGCGGAGTCGGGGTTTCGACGACAGATGGAGGATGAACCACCTGAAGAGGAAGAAGAGGAGGAGGAGGAGGAAGAGGAAGAAGTGTACGCGGAAGCGCAAGATAATCTATTCGAGAATGAAGATGACAACGACGAAGAAGAAGAACAACATATGGAGGAAGAAGACTACAACAACAACACTCACGACCGTCACGAATCGCATGACTACCACCAACAACAACAAGGGTACAACTTTCCCTCCCACCAGGAGGAAGACTACGATCACGATACAACCCTAAGTCGAAGACGACGTCGACCACCACAACCACCCCCGGACAACTCCAAACGCTGGCGTCGCACCGTCGAGCAGGCCTTGACGACCATGACCGCCGAGATCGCCGCCGTGCGAGAGCAATTGGAAGCGCGAGCGCTAGCTCATCGTCGACGAACGGGCCTGTGGGCCTGGCTGAAGTGGCTGGTCTGGGTCGCTGCACGGCAGATCATGGTTGATCTGGCGTTGCTCGGTATGCTTCTGATCTGGATGAGACTGCGGGGGGATCGCAGGTTAGAGGAGAAGTTGAAGGTGGGTTGGGCGGAGGTGAAGACGAGGTTGGTATTCTTGATGCTGTTTAGGAGGGTTAGGAGGGTGGTGTCCGCGTCTCCTACGTCTTCATCTTCATCTTCGTCTGGTGATAAGGCCTCGTCGTGAGGCGAATTTTCTTTCTTTTGTCTCTTCTGGTACATATACATATACACCTTTTTTTCTTCTCTTCTCTTATCTTTCTTATTTTTACTTCTTATTCCTATACCTATATTTCTTTCTTTTATTATTTATTTCTTTTGTTATTGTGTCAGGTTGATCATTAGAGGTTGTTTGTCTACTTCTCTACTTCTCTTTGAGGTGTTATACTTCATTGCAGTGGTTAGCTGTCTGCATATTCCTGCGGTGTTCTGGTTGTACACTTTTGTATTCTAGGTGATTTACAGTCTATAGATCTGGAGCCTGGATTATAGTGTATGCATCATTATCATGAACATTCATACCTATATCTATAGCAACTCAACAGCAATCATCTTACTACGTAGTATCCAACTGACTGACTCGGAACCAATGACATTCCTGATGCTAATATATACACAAACAGACGTCAACCAGAGAGACGGGAAGAGAAAAACAAAAGGAAAACACCGGAATACAAAAGACAACGTTAAGTTAGTAGTAGTGGTTCAGTTAAGAAAAACACACAATGATATATGCTCCCCTCAAAATATTTCATTTTGTATTTCTTTTAATATTGCCGACCAGGCCAATCGGAGTAGATCTGCTTGGGGCGCAAGTGCACGGGGACGACGTTCTCGGGGGTTCCGGGGATTTCCTTCTTCAGGCCCTATACATTTTAATTAGTATGGGTCTGTAGTATACAGACCAGAATTTAAACACAAATGTGTATGGTGAAGGTATACGCACCAGCTTCTCAAAAACACAGCTGTTCAGCTTCATCTCCTGCGCACGGCACTCCCAGAGCTTGTGGTTGTTGTTCTCGAGGCACTCCCAGTGAGCGGTGAACGACTTCAGGCAGTGGGTGTTGATGTCCTTGATTCTGCAGATCCATTGAATCAGTATTCCTTCTGCGGTATTTCATCGCTCAATGGCCCTTTGAAAGCCAATGGAACAGAGCATGGGAACATACACGCTAGCCGCACAGCGCGTCACCTTTCTACCCTCCTTCAGACAGTCCAGCTCTCCGCGCCCGTTCGACTCGTCCTTGCACTTCATGAAATCGTCGTTGTAGGGCTTGCAGCGGTCTCCGATAAAGTACGCCGCGCTGTACAGCGGCGCCGACGTAGCACCGATCTCCTCCACCTTGGGGATGTGATCGGGCATGGGGGTCGTGTCGACCAGCACCTGCTGGTTAAACCTGGAGCAGTCATTTCCGTTAGAGAGAGCTGGTCATTGTTCAATTGCGTTGCGAGTATGTATGTATGTATGTATGTATGTGTCGTATTATATGTCGTGGTGGTGTAGTACTCAAGGGTAACCCGTGGAAGTGGCCGGTTGGGGGATTGGCAGGATTTCAACGTACTGGGGCTCTCTGGACGCCATGGTGACCGCTGGGCGTAGGACTCAATGGACCGGATCTGGGGGGAAAAGTCGAGGAGAGGGGGATCGAATTGATGGAGATGGTTCGCCGGGTCCGAGTGGAAGGTGAAGCTGCGAGTTTGGAAGGAGTGGTTTTTGCTCGTTGCTGATTGGTTGAGATGGCTGGGTTAGGTAATCTGCTGGTCGCCGGAATTATCAGGCATAAATAGGTAGCTGGCTGTTCCTTGCCTCAGGCATGAGGGAGCTCCACACGTGACCGTAACCGTGCGAAAAACAAAGCTTCCCGATGGACTCACGCCAGCATTGCCCGGCTGTTGTTGATGCCGCGCACTGCGCTTCTATTTCTGCTGCTTGTCTGTGGGTATCCCCTTTATTCCCTTATTGAACTTGGTTGTGTGTTGTGGACTAGTCGCATTATCGCACCTGCTTATTCTTACATTGTTGACATCTAATAGAAATTCGGTATTTACCGACTTGGGTTCAATTGGGTGTTATTGCGCCTTCGTTGCGGAGTGACCGACCTTATTTATTGCAATTGTTCCTTCCATTACCGTGTTGTTCTCAATATCGCCTTTTATCTTCCTCGCCATTCAACCTAAGCACAACGCAACTCGCAATGTCTCTTTTCGGTCAAGCTGCGGCCCCGTCTACGGGCGGCGGCCTCTTTGGACAAGCCAACAACACCGCAAATAAGCCTAGTCCCTTCGGCGGAGGTGGCGGTCTCTTTGGAAATACCTCGACGACAAACACTACGCAGCAGAACACCACGGGCGGATTGTTCGGAGGTGCGACGCAGACCCAGCAACCGTCGGGAGGAGGTCTCTTCGGCGGCGCCGCGAACACGCAGACTCAGCAGCCATCCGGCGGACTGTTCGGCCAAACCGCGACCCAACAGAAGCCAGCAGGTGGTGGTCTTTTCGGAGGACTGGGGCAGACGCAACAACCCCAGCAGCAACAACAGCAGACTACTGGAGGGAGCTTGTTCGGGCAGAAACCCCTTGGAGGAGGTGGAGGAGGGTTGTTTGGTCAGCAACAGCAGTCGCAGGCGCCGCCGCAGCAGCAGGGTGGTGGTCTGTTTGGTGGGTTGGGTCAGACGCAGCAGCCTCAACAACAGCAGCAACAACCGAGTCTGTTCGGAGGTTCTCTACTAGGAGGACAACAGCAGCAACAGCAACCGGCGCAGCAACAGCAGCAACCCCAATTGGGCCAGACTCAGATGGGTCAGTCGACGGCACAGCTCGGTTCGAGTCTGTGGGAGCCGGGCCGTGCAGTTACCGGAGGTAAGTTAAAGATGATCTAAATGCTGTATGTTAGACGTACTAATGGTTGTAGTCCACCGCACCGTACCGATGCAGATTCAGATCGTAAAGGACAAGTGGGATGCGTCCAGCCGTTCTTCCCCCTTCCGCGCGTATTTGTATAACAATGTCGGCGAAGAGATGGCACCTTTCTACCAGCCGGGTCCGGAGGACGATGACACAAAATGGGAGGATGCGCTGCGGAAGCGGCCCGATTCGGGATATGTTCCTGTGCTCGTCAAGGGCTTTTTCGAGCTGGGCAAGCGCGCGCAGCGCCAGAAGGATTTCCTTACCATGATGCAGACGCGACTCCACGAGATCAACAACTGCCTGTCGGATCTGCTGTCTCGGCACGATCTGAAAATTTCGGTCAAGATTGCCGACTGCCGCCGGAAACACCTTGTCCTCAGCAAGCGTTGCCTGGCGCTTGCGGCCAAGACGCAGGTGCTGCGGAATCGCGGTTACGCCATGGATGACGCGGAGGAGGAGCTTAAGAAGAAGCTCAGCCAGCTGGAGCGGTCGGTCTTCGACCCGTCACTGAACGGACGAGCGGAGGAGATCTGGGCGCGCATGCTGGCTATCCGGGAGCACTCGCGACGTCTACAGCAGGAGATGGAGCGGGCCGGACCCAGCGCGGCGGCGCAGGCGGACGACGAGCTGGACGAGCAGACGATGAAGACGGCCAAGAAGGTAAGTTGCTTACTTCCAGTCATGATTACTACATATGCTAATGATGTCTAGATATTGGATGACTACCACACCCAAATCCAACACTTGCAGAAGGAACTCGAAGCAGTGAGAAAGGACTTTGAGGAGGCACAGAAGCTTCCCGGGGGAGCCGTGAACCACTGATGCTGTTGATGCTTGATTGCGATTCCATCATATCATGAATTGAGGGACTGTCTGGTTGTTTGGCTTGTGCTGTTTGGAGCATGGAGTTTATAGGAGCTGGTATCCGCACGTCTTGCACACGAGACGTGGTTTAATAGAGCATAAAAAGTAACCGTGACAGCTGGTCATTTGAGATTCATATTCATTTCTGCAACTCGAGATGTACAATATAATACATTATGCGATGCCCTTCCTTCCTATCCCTTGTATGCATTGTGTGTTGTAAAGTGGAAAACAAACGTAGTCGACACGCGATTACAGGAACTTCTTGACGAAGTCGATGGCGAAGGGAGCTGAATCATTTGTTAGTTCGTAGAACAAAATTCCGGGGCATGCGAAGAACTCACAAAGGTAAAGCAGGATACCACCGGAGACAGCCATGCGGATGGTCTGGTTAGCCTGGACCTCACCGGCCTAGAAAGAAAGAAAAATAGAATATCAGTATGTTATGTTCTGCTCGGGGTTGATGATGACGATGAAGAGGAATTGGGGTGAAATACTCTGATCTCCTCCTTGGAGAGCTGTTCCTGGCCTGGTAACAATTAGCACAATGCAAATTATTTTGATGATAAGAAATAAGACTCACCTGGAGCGAACATTGGGATAGTGGTTTATGGGTAGAGAGTCAATGGAGATAGATAGATGTATGTTCAAGAAATGATGAATGGGTTGAATAACTCACAGTAGTTAATGACTGAATGAATGGGTTCGATTCTGCCGCGCACAGACCACCGCGGAGGCGGAATCTGCTTGCTTTGGGTCTTGCTTGCTTCAACTTCTTGCGCGGTTGCTCGGTGTTACTACTTACTAAAACCTGCCATTTCTTTTCACTTTTTTCCTTTCTCCATCTTTCTTTCTTATTACCTTGATTGTCGCTTCAAGGATACTTCTCTTACGGATTCAAAGTGTACCAACAGAATTGAAATCCAGGCGATAAAGGTCTCGAGAATCGATCTATCCCATCTACGCTTCACGAAACCTGGTCTAGCCGACTCCGACCACTCCTCATCAGGGGAGAAAGTAACATATTCACCCAACCCACCCACAACTGCCATTTCACAAGACACAATCATGTCCGAACCGCGCAGTCCCGAGCCCGAGCTCAAGCCCGCCGCTGAAGTGGATGAACAAGAACAACAGCAGGAAGCGCCCCCGACGCCCGGCGGCGACGCCGTTTCGGATGAAGAACCCGCTAAGGAGGTAGAGGCGGAGGCAGAGCCAGAAGCCGAAGAGCAACAAGAACAAGAACAAGACCAAGGAGAAGAAGAGGCCGCGCAAGACAATGGTGGCGATAATGATGACGATGACGACGAAGACAAGATCTCCGACGACGAATCCATTCTTTCGGAAGTCGACGAAGCCCAGTTTGAGGACTTCGATCCCGAGAATGTCGACATCGAGGACCGGCCGCAGCTGGCGATTGACGAGGATAACTTGAAGTTGATCGGGCGGCATAAGCGGAAGCGTACAGAGGGCGGGGGTGAAGAGCGCTCGAAGAGGAAGAGAGAGGGACGTCGCGAGAAGAAGAGTCGGAGGATGAGGGAGTTGGAGGATGGAGGCGCGAGTGATGAGGAGAAGGCTAGTCGGAGGAGGAAGAAGAAGGAGGCGGAGATTGCGGAAGAGGAGTTGTTGGATCCGGCTACAAGTATGTTTCTTACTGCTGAGGATGGCATGGATGATGCTAATTGCTATGTTTAGGACGGCGGAGAGCG